CTCTCTCTCTCTCTCTCTCTCTCTCTCTCTCTCTCCATCTTACCCTCCCCCCCTTCCACCACTTGGCAACTAACCCTTCACCACTCACTTGTTACATTGCCAGGGAATGAACGGTGAAAAAAAATTGTCCTCACTTGGTAGAAAAATTGGGCGAGGGAAGAGTTGTTGGTCCCTTGTGCCGCCGAGAAGAAAAGGAAAAGACACGTGAGCGATTGAGAGAAGTCAAGTCCGGAAAAAGGGACTGGACAAAGTCGGTACTTAAAGCAAGGTCAGTTGACTCAACCATTTCCCCGACTGCATGACTATGAGAAGAGGATGGACTGATTGAGCAGCGGAAGGAGAATGAAGAAAAACCAAAGAAAAAGAAAGTTAGGCATGCGGGAAGGGCTATGTGTTGACCCCAATGGGGGATTGTATCGGTCTTTGCCTTTGTGTGGGTTTGTGCAGGCGAGTAAGCCTTGGGATGCCTTGGGCAGGACCAGGCCGGGGAAGCCGGGCGGCAAAAGAAAAGGGAAAAGGGGGCAAAGGGGCTACGAGGCCCTTAGTGTAAAATCGACCCATGAAAGAGACCTTTGTGCATGAGGCTTGGAGTGTGAATGAAAGAAAGGAGTGGAACTTTTGCTGATCGGAATGTGAAGTAGCCTGTGCATGTGTATGAAGGCTCCGAAAGGACTAAGGGGCTTGCACCAATGACAATGGATGGAATGTCTGAGGCACGAGGGGTGCGTAGAGGCGAGGGGAAAGACGGCGTTGCCGCACCCCGATGACGCTATAGGGTTGTTGTGTTTAGGGAAATGGTGTGTGGTCTAAGGATGACGCTTAGCCTATGCACAAAAGAAGAGGAACTCTAAAAAAAAAATTGTGGACTGCTTGCGTATTAGAAGGAGCATTTGCTTGAGAACACAACCAAGAATCAGAAAATCAGCGCTTGCAGAACGACCGGCGAGACTACCACCCGGCGCGAGGGCTGAGCTACATCCCCAATGTCAAAGCTCTCTCGCTTGACGGTTCACCCCCATCCATCTCAAAGCACTAGGTGGGGGTGACCCTGGGACGAACGGCCTGCGCCCTGAGCATGAGCGTGGGCGGGTCGAGCCAACTGGGACCCGCAGGGGGGTCGACCAAGGCTCGAAAGTCTACTGGGGTTCGGCCCTACACCGAACAATTTTGGATAGCCTTGATCTTGTCCGCTCGCGGACGGATGCCTTGCGGCGTTACAAAGTGGCCCAAGTACTTGAGCTCTTGCTGCACGAATTCACACTTGGCTCGGTTGACCTTGTACTTGGCCGTACGTAGCCTGTCCAAAACAGCGCGTAGATGCATGATGTGCTCGTCCAAAGTTCGACTATACACCAAGATGTCATCAAGGTAGATGAGTACGAATCGGTCCAACATGTCGCGAAACTCCGTTGTCATTGCCGCTTGGAAGGTGGCCGGGGCATTCATGAGGCCGAATGGCATTACGACCCACTCGAAGTGCCCGTACCGTGTCTTGAACGCGGTTTTGTAGCGATCTCTTGCATGGATCTCGAACTGGTGGTAACCGGCCTTGAGGTCCAACTTGGAGAAGTACTTGGCGCCGCCCAAACGTTCGAGAAGATCGTCGATGCGTCGGAGCGGGCCAACCTTCTTAATAGTTTGAGCGTTAAGCTTACGATAGTCAATGCGTAAGCGCAACTCCTTGTTCTTCTTTCGGACGAAGAGAACGGGTGCACTGTAGGGCGAGCAGCTAGGGCGAATCCAGCCCTTGTCAATGAGGTCATCGAGTTGCGCTCGTAGCACTTCGAGTTCCTCCTCGCTCTGCAGTAAATACATCCGCGCAGAGGTACAGCCCTGTCTTCGAGGATGCTCTCGTGACGAATTGGCCGATTCGGTACGATTCCAGCGGGGGCTTCAAAGGCGTCGCCATAGGAGTCGAGAAGCTCCACAATACGTGGATCTGATGGCTGTTCCGTCGCTGGCTCGTCGGGAGGAGGGAGGGCGTGCAAGAAGCAAATGCCCATTTCTTCCATGTTGTTCTGTGCGATGGAGTTGCAAATGCTTGCCACAGAGACCACGTGACAACCAATCGAAGGGTGAGGTGGGGGGACCGTACATGGCACAAGTACCCCGTTCCGGTCACGAACGTGAACGGTGCGGCGGCAAAAGTTCACCGGGTGGTCCTCGCTGCGCAGCCACGACATGCCCAAAATCATGTCGAAGTTTGTGTCCAATATGTTGAAGGACACGACCTCGCATGCATGCGGGGCGAAGTACACAAGGACGGAGTCAACGCACCGGTCGATGGACTTGTGCGTACGACCGTCGACCAACGTGACTTGCGTGGGCTACGATGTCCTTCGAACGCGCGGCCCAAGGCTGGCGCGCATCATGAAGTCTTGGCTGATGTAGTTGCAAGTAGCTCCACAATCGATCAAGGCGCTGGAGGTCGCCTTCCCGATCTGAATGCGGACGTAGAGTAACGGTGCGTTGATGTTGTCGTACCGTTGCGTGGCGTACTCACGGTCAATCTTCGCAATGTACTCGCGAAGGTCAACAACCGCTACTCCGTCTTCCATCACCGGAGTTGGTACTGCAGCGTGCAAGTAGTTGCGTAGTTCTGCCATTAAGGCATTGCAATGCGGCTTCGACAAGGAACCAGATGGGCGAAGAGGCATCCATTGGAAGTCCTCCGGTGTCAATGGGTCGAGGCCCTCAAGTCTAGACCATATCAACGAGTCCCCGACTCTGTTGGCGAGGGTTCGGGTTCACTTGGCGATGGTGATGAAGTCGCGCATGCATATGACTCTTGCACATGGAGAGGTTGGTCCAACGGAGGGACCAACTGGATAGTATAGTCTTCGTAGCTTTCGTGAAGACTTGCGACATACGCATGTTCCCCGAACCCGGAGGAGGTTGTTAGCAAGGCAACCGTGTCCGTCGAAGTAGGAAGCGGAGTCGCCTCACTTCCCGCGGAGCTCAGTTTCCCGAGCTTTATCGTGGACGGACGTCTTCTTTGCCTTTGTCGGGGCATTGCAACGTTGTGTGCTTGGTGCTATTGCACCAATAGCAACAATTGCACTTCTGGTGGAGCTTGTGTTGCTCCTACGTGAGCCGGAACTTCTTCCACGGCTCGTTCGGTTGTCTGGCTTCCGTTGTTGATGTGGATTTCGCCTTTTTCTTCTTGTTGTTGTGTCGTGGCGGAAGGGCATTGACTCCGTCTCCTTCACTAGACTCGTGATTCAGCGTCTGGTCGGCCTCTTGTCCATCAAGTTGGGTAGCAGCGATTGGCTGCGTCCGCGGGCCTTTGCCCTTCTCCACAAAGTTCGGTTAGCTTCGCCGCTCGTTGGCAGCCCACCGATTTGTTTGGATTACTTCGCGCGCCTTTTCCACGATCTGGTCAAAGTCCGTGTACAGGCTGCGCTCCCCAAGGGCCATGCTCAATGCGTCGACCGACCGTCACAAGTTTTTGCCACTCGTTTAGCCATTCGCGAGTGTGCTGGCTGCCTTGGTGCATGTTGAAGATCCGGTTCTCGCCTTTGCCTTGAGTGTCATCGACAATGAAGCGTTTCCGCCACTTCTCGTTGATGGCTTCCCAAGTGATTTTGGTGTAGAGCTTTGCAACCTCGACGCCTTCGGTTTGTGTAAGGTGGTTGAGCCACACTTGGCGACACCGGTGGTGCAAAGGTAAAGAGTGGAGATCTCCGATTCTGGCGGGATCGAGTGAATTGAGAGCTCGTTGGTGAAGCCTTGCCACCAACTGATGGGGTCCACCTTGTTGTAGTCATCGAACTTTTCGATGCTGAACTTGGACGTCATGCTGTTGCAAGTCCCGGTTGGTTGCTGCCGCAGCTGATGCAGGTCCGCTTTTAGGGCGGCTATTTGCTGGCTGATGGTACCCGGTTGTTGGAAACTGTTCAAAATTTCGACGAGCGCTACCAGGTGATCCATTCGTCCTTCCAGCTTGCTGATCGATGGATCGGTACTTGAGGATGTTGTGTGCCTGTGCGGCTCGTCATCCTTCTCCAACTTGTCAAGGCGGGAATGGAGACTCTTGAGTGTCTCATAACCAGAAATGACATGTGCCTGCCGGGCCAACTCCACTTGTTGCCAGTTACAAGTGAGGATGACTTGGTGCATCATGTTGGCGAGGGCTGACTTGGTTTGTTCCTCCGCAGTTGGTTCCGTGTGCGTCTCCGTCGGATCAACATTCCATGCTTGGAGTGCGGCGGTATGAGCGGCTTCCTGCTGCATGAGGATGGATGCGGCATCTCGTCAAGCTTTATTATGGTTGGCAGCTGCTTCATCGTGTTGCCAGCGTCGTTGCCCCACGTCACGTGCAATGGCGTTGACGTGTGCGGCTTCGGCTGCTGCCTCACGTCGCTATTCCTCTTGTACTTGTTGCATGTAGGTGGCCAGGTGGGCCATGAAGGCCGTCATGGTGTCACCTTGCTGTTGGATTGGCGCAACGTCGAGGGCTCCCGCTCGTGGCACAGTGGAACTCACCTGCAGGACCTGTGGGACCAGGGGGTTCATACTGCATGCCTCGCGTGGATTGCCGGATGCGGCAGTGTCCACCGTGGGGTTGCCTTGTGCCTCCATTTGCGAGTGGAGGGGCAGGGGTAGTTGCTGTTCTGCTGCGGCTGCCCGCCCCTCACGTGCTGCGATGTGTTTGCTGCGTCGGAGCATACTGTGTCGGCTGACGCGACACTGCTGATGTGGCCCTGCTGCTGACGTGGCCCTTGCTGACGTGGCACTTGTTGACGTGGCACTTGCTGATGTGGCACTTGCTGATGTGGCAGTTGCTGACGTGGCAGTTGTTGACGTAGTACAAAGAGGGGTGGGAAGGAACTTGGAGATAGGCAAATGACGAATTGCAATTTTCCAACCCCGGGTACTAATCAACAAAAGAAAAAGAAAAAATCTCCCTTTTTTTTTTTTTTGGAAATTTGTCGATTTAAGAATTACGGAGGCATCTATCAGATAACAAGCAGTGGAACGGTTAACGGGATTAGGAACAGACAATAATTGAAATTCCAGAAAATAATTTCTCGGAATTATATCGATTTTCAGACAACGAAATTCGTAAGTTTGTCGGCCGGGGAGAAAAACTAACAGAATAGCTCAAGTGAAAAATCACGATTTAAAAAAGACGAACTCTGAAATAATTTAATGCCGAAAACTTTTTGAATTTCGAGAAATTGGGTAGGTCAAATTAGCGGAAATCGTGAAGTTATGGACTTATGAAGGACCTTGAGAAAATGAAACCCTAATTCATATGTGATTCCTCAAAACCGAAAAATTGTCCTAACCCTAACTTGCTACTTTCATATTTTAGTGGAATAGTAAAGTGTCGAGCTTTTTAGAATTTTCAAAATTCGCGGAATTCCAGAATCTGTGGAATTTGCGRATTTCGTGGGAAGACCGAAATGTTCGGAAYGCGCGGATTTCGTGGAACGCCGAAATTTTTGGAATTTTTGAAATTTGCGGATTTTTGTGGAATGCCGAAATTTTTGGGATTCCAAAATGCGYGGAATTCGYGGATTACTGAAAGTTCGAATTTAGGAATTAGTGGTTTGCAACAGGAAGAAGAAAAACTAAAGAAAAAGAATTTTCAAAATTTAGTGAAGTATAATTTTTTTTTTTGCAGAAATTTGACGAATCCCTACTCCATTGATCAATCAATCAATTAATCAATCAATCAATCAATCAATCAAGTTGGTTTTTTGATTGGGTAGATCCTCTTTCTAGATGTCTACTCCGATACCAAACTGTCATATACCAAGATGGTACAGATCAGAACCAAGAACGGACCTCTCAGAAATAGAGCAGGATAGCACAGCGGAAGACTRAAATACAATGATCAAACCCAATCATTGTCGAAATGTAGACTGGACACAATATTCACCATCATCATCACACGGTGTGAATGGCCAGGCGCCGCACACCAGGACGAAGGTGCCAGGCCTAACTCGTACACAGATGAGGAGGGGGAAGAGACGAAGGAGAAGGGGAAAGAGGTGAGAATGTTGTCAGCCTTAAATGTCGCTGATATCAATCCCAAGTAATCCCCCCAACTTCTCTGTCCAATGTCGAGTTTGAATCCTAAATGTCGTCAATCTTTCTTTCTCTCTCTCTCTCTCTCTCTCTCTCTCTCATTGCCGGATAAGAAGTCAGAGCGTTGGGAGGGGAAGAAGAAGGTGGTGGACTGGAAGAGGAAGAAGAAGAATATCTGTGTGTGTGTGTGTGTGTGTATAGATATCAGGTACTGACCTGCGAAAGGTGGTGCCTTGATGCAGGTGCGGACGTGCTGAAGACGAAGCTGGAGCAATGGCCACGCAAGTAAGTCTCAAGTAAGTCCTCTGGCCGCCGTCACCATCTCTCCCGCCATGCGCTCCTCTACTCTATCAGCGCCCAGCGCTGGAAGACTAGTCCTATCGTCGACTATTACGGTGTCGTG